AATATCAATGATGAGAATCATTGATTGGCTGCCTCCTGCACTCCCCCTCCTGGGGATCGAGCCCACAACCTGGGCACGTGCCCTTGACTGGAATCAAACCTGGGACCAGTCAGTCCACAGGCTGACACTCTATCCACTGAGCCAAATCAGCTAGGGCCAAAAGACCAATCTTAACGGAAAACATTAGTAAGTTGAACTTTACATCCTACATTAAATTTACACTTATGTGTATTTCATATTAAATATAACTTTTCTATTTACATTGAAATTAGGAACTTTGTTCATCAAAATATACCATTATAAGAATAAAAAGATTAACCTTAATATAAGAAATATTTAAAAACATAGCTGACAAAGCTCTTCCATTCAGAATAAATAATTCATAAATCAGGAAAAGATGACAAACTAAGAGAAAAATAGGCAAGAGACTAAAGATACATCTCTCAATACAGGGTTTCCAAGTGACAAATAAGTACATATAAGTACTTAGTATGATTATACAGCCTTTATATGAGAAGACAAAATAAAATACATACCACTCACTACAAAACTATGAAAACAGATAAAATTTTGAAACTTAGAACACCAAGTATTGATAGGATCTAGATGGAGCAAATGAACTTTCCTGGTACATTTATTATGTAAAGTGAGGTGTTCAGTCTTAGTCTGTAAACTTTCAACAGGGCTAATTTGTAAATTCAAGACATGAAGTTCGTGCTGTTTGATGGAAGCCACGGTGACAGCAGGTGGCAGTAGAGGGCGCACTAAGCTCTTCAGAAGGTTTTCCTGAGGGCGGTGAGCTCACAGGACCACAAGCCCAGAGAACACCTTGCTGCCTGTCTCTCACTTCACTGCCGGTCACAGTCCCCACACTGTCCCTCCCCCCGCTCGCCAGAGCCTTGGGCTGCTCAGATGATGAACTGGACTGCTCCATACGTAGTGTGGAGGCTTTTCAGTTCAGATTTGGGAACTGAATGCTAAAAATAAAGATATACTTTCATCTATCTCCCAGGGACTGGGTCACAAAAGAAGTCACGTCTCAGGGAAAAACAAAAAGAGCTGATTAATGATTATGGAATCCCCTTCCCTCATTTGAATGCAATATACATTTACATGAAAACTTTTAAGAAAGCGAACCATTACCCAGAGTACGTAATGCCTCTTTTGCAAATACAATCTCCTCAAGAGGAACTCTTTGTGACAGTTTTCTTATATCAGGTGATAGACATTACATCATATATGACCTATTATATGTTAAATATTTATTTTAATGTGGCCACTTTAAACCTCGCAAAGGCAATATGGTTTCAAAGACCAGCAAGTGCACTTTCTTCTCTTCAGTTCTGTTTGTTTTATTCTAAATGAGGCTACCATATTAAGCAAGACTACCAGATGTTTTTCACATGTGTAAGTTTGTATTAATATGTGTTTTTTACTCCTATTTTTGTTTATATAATATTTTTATACTTCTAAATGCTATTATGCTATTACTTTTCTAATCTACATCTCTTATATTTATTTTTTTACTTGATGGAAGCAGAAAACGAGAAAAACAATCATACAAAGTCTTGACCTGAGAGAGCTCTGGACAAGCCTGTTACTGGGCTGGTCTCTGTCAGTCACCCTTACCTTGTACCTGTTTCTTTTCCTTTGGGAGAGAATAGTGGGGTGCACATCTAGCGGTCCAAGTTGTTTGGCATCGATGCTTACTCAGACAACTTCCTAGTAACCATTTGAGCTTACAGTCAACTTTTCTAATACACACCTTCCCATTATAAATCTACTGTTTTGTTTTGACCAATGACAGCAAAGATAAACACGGTTTTTCACCAAAGAATTACTTCATCCCCTTCATCCCCATCCGATTACTTTGGACACTTTGGCACAACCATGTCACAGCAAAGAAAGCTCCTGGTAGCTGGTGGCGCCGCTTATAAATTCTCATCATTAAGGGGGAAACCAGGTGTGTTTCACACACTCTTCTAACCCAATTGTCTGGCATTGCAGCAGGAACATAACAGCAAATGAAGGAATTAATGAACCAGCGTTCTGGTTGGGCTTATTGACTATTATAACGAGGAGCCCCTGGGTGAGATCTCATAATGCCATTACTGCTTACTTCGATGGAGCAGAATCAATTTACAAATATTTATCCGGTGCTTACAAATGCTGGGCACTAGATGCTAGGGATACAGAAGCCTCTAATTGGATGGAGCTTATGGTTGGACAGAAAAGACAGAACACATATCGTAAGTACTGTACTAGTTTCTTACGGCTTCTGTGAAAAATTTCCCCAGCTTAGTGGCTTAAAGCAACACAAATGCATCCGCTTACAGTTCTGGAGGTCCGAAGCCTGGGCCTCACTGGGCTGAAACAACGCGGTCAGCAGGGCTGTGTCCATCCGGCGGCTCCAAGGGAGACCCTTCTGGCCTTTGCTGGCTTCTAGGAGCCAGCCGCTTTCCTGGGCGCGGGGCCTCTGCCTGTTTCCAAGGCCAGCAGCACAGCACCTTCAGATGTCTTCCTGCCTCTGCCTCCCCTGTCTCCCTCTTTCGCTTATAAAGACTCCCGTGATTGCACTGGGCCCCCAGGCAATCTTCATCTCGAGAGCCTTAACTTGATCACACCTGCAAAGTCTCTGCTAACAGGGAATATATTCACAGGTTC